CATGTTATCCTCCCAAAGCCCAAGCACAGCGCCCTGGGCACCGGAAGCCCTTAACTAATAGGGGGTCCTAGAGCCCACTGGGCTCTGGAGTCCAATTGCCTGAACGTCATTCACGTGAAGAGCTTAGCACAGTGACGGCCAGAGGGGGCACCCGGAAAATGTTAGTTTCCATTATTAGTAGGGACGGACGTTCCTTGAATGGGTGCTTAAGCAGTTTTTCAGGGAAAGGTGTTAGAGAGAACGCTCCCACCCCCGACATCTGACAGCCTCCTGAGTGCATCCTGCCCACTGCACGATGTCTGCACCTCGAGCTGTTTTGGCAAATGCCCCCCTCCTGCACGGCAGGGCTGGGCAGCTGTGGGACTTGCTCCCGGTCCAGCAGCATGGCTGATGCTGGCTTATCATCAACCTCCGGGCTGCCCATCACTCCATCAAATGCTCCGAGAGGGCAGAGGTTGAATCATGACGTATGCAGTTAATCCCTCTTGAGGAAAAGATACGTTTGAAAACGCACCACCCTATGTCTATGGCAGAATCCTAAGATCCCTCTCACCCTTTGATTCTATGACACGGTTGAATTCTGAACGACAGCAGACATGACTTCTCTTGTGCTCAGTGGACAGAGAACGATGTAAAGAGAAAATTCTATAATTCACTGCTTTCTTGTACGAACAGTTATGTTTTGAAAATCAAGTGAGAACCGCAAGAAGGTGTGGAATCTGGTGAACTGGGCCACAGTTTAAATAGAAAGTTTTAAAATATTCCTCACATGTGGATGAAGGGTTAGTTTCTCCACTCACAGAAACAAAAAGGATCCTGCAAGTGAGCATCATAGGATTTGCAGTTCTGCACGTGCTGACACTCCACAAAAACTGCTTTTCTTGTACGACTTTCATCATTCTTGTTAGGTTTGTAGAGACATCAGTAAAATTTGGAGCTGGGTAGAACCACTTGACAGAATTAAATCACAGGAAACCACAGAATTAAGTCACCCAAACAGAGGTTTTAGAAAAGGACTAAGTGAAATGGAGAGAAGCTGCCAGGGGTATTGAGTCCTTCTCTTGACTCTTAAAAACAAATGTGGAGAGGGTTTCCCCGGTGGCGCAGTGGTTGGGAGTCCGCCTGCCGACGCAGGGGACGCGGTTCGTGCCCCGGTCCGGGAAGATCCCACATGCTGCGGAGCGGCTGGGCCCGTGAGCCATGGCCGCTGAGCCTGCGCGTCCGGAGCCTGTGCTCCGCAATGGGAGGGGCCACAGCGGTGAGAGGCCCGCGTACCACAAAAAAAAAAAAAAAACAAAAACGTGGAGAAACAATAGCAATTTAGGTATTTCTCATGCTAATGCAGTATTGCTCCCTCCAGCCTAGATTTGCCTGTGTATTAGTCCTGTGCTTACACAAGTTAAGGAGAGATTGCTGGAAATAAGAGGCTACTATTATGAAACAATTAAATAAATACCTAATAGTGTTGGACATTTTAAAGCTGGAAAGACCTCCGACAATATCTTTAGTCTCTCTCCCTATCTTCTGTTCAGTTTATGAATATGCCCATTTTATAAATGTGACAGTTGAGGCCCAAAAGATTAAGGAATATGCTCAGAAATCGTAACAAAGGAGTATAAACAATACGCACTTCTCTATGTAGCTTTAGAATTTTTCATATGAATGAACGTGTGTACTGTTACGTAAGCTACCAACATACAGCTCAGGGATTGGCAGCTTCCATCTTTATTTTTGTCGTACCTTGTTTGCACCACACGTTATTACTCTACCAGGTTATTGAGGTTTTTTAAGGATACAGAGTCTTTAAATTCTCTGGTCTTCTGTAGTTCTTTTTCCTTGTCCATATTTTAAAAACACGTCGATACTGAGAAATGACTCTTGAACTCACATTTAAAATGCTTTAATATGTGTCTTATATTAGAGTTTTCTAATGCGGATTAGTGTTTGGTTTTCTATGCTTTGTGCATTGAAATCCTGGATTTTTATGGGAAGAAGAACACAGTACAGGCAGAGGGAACAGCATGAGTGGAGGCTCAGGGGCAGGGTGCGTAGCCAGACTGGGGATGGAGAGATGGAGACAGATTGTAAAGATGCTGGACGTCAGGCCAGGGCATCAGGACTGCACCTGGCAGGCGGTGGGGAGGCAGCAAAGGTGTGTGAGCAGGTGAGGGACCGATTTGTTTTGTGTTTCAGGAAAGCTCTGCTCGAAACCCTGGGAGAAATGAATTGAATGTGGGGGGACTGGCAGAGGGAGACAATTCTGAAGTCATCACAAAGATCTAAGGGAGGGATAACGACGCCTAAATCAAAGCAATGGAAGTGGCAAATAAATGAGAAATGCCATGAAAGTGAACTTTTTGCCTCTTCTATGCTCTCTGTGCTTCCAGCCCTACGTTCAGAGACTGATCGTCAACATCAGAAGGTGGGAAACTTGGGTCTTGTACACGCCAAGCGACTAGTCAAACAGGAGGTTGGTTTGTCCTGGCATGTTCAGTGCACATATTGCTGAGCAGTGATGGAAAACGGGACTGTGGTAGCCACCAGGAGATGTCATGGAGCACGGCAGCCCGTCTGAGCATCTCTTTCCAACCAGGTCTCCCCACGGGCAGCAGGGAGATCCTTGGGGGCTGCGAGGTGCTTAGACGGAGCCCAGCTGGAGCTGTGTTGAGTGTGTTTGCAGCTGTTGTTGGCTATTTATTCACCTGTGGGGTTAGCCAGTCTGATAACCAGTCCCCTTGTCCTTCCCCCTGATCTCCTCTACCACAGAGCTGTGAAGAACTGAATGCTTGCCTCGGAGCCTCCCCTGGGTCCAAAAGTGGCCATGGGACGCTGCCTGGCCAGTGAGATGCAAACCAAAGAAACCCCCGTAGAAGCTGCAGGGACACCGGGTGCTTCCTTGTAAAGGCCATGCTGGCGCTGCCCCTTCCTGTCTGCCCCGCTTGAATGCTGCCACACCCACTCGGCAACCATGAGCTGACAGGGACGAAGGTGGCAGAGATGGTGTCAACACTGACGGTGGGAGGGAGGATATGGGGAGACCAGGGGTCTGAGGACGGCACCGGCGGCTGCCGCCCTCCCCTCCTCTTATCTCAGAGGAACAAAGCCCCGTTGTGCCGGCTCTGAGAGCTGGGTTTTCTGTTGCTTCAGAGTGTGCTCCTACCTGACGCACAGTGGCTTTTCTCCTTCCTTGGGAGCCAAAGGCTTCCTAACAGGTAGATGTTAAGCCCTGAATATCTAGAAGCAAATCAAGCGTCCCTGTGGATGTGGACGTTCTATAAAATATGCTTCAACTGTTAAATTACCACTGCTTTTGGCTCCAGATTTGCTAACACAATCTTAATAACATCAGTAATCACAATAGTAGTAATGTCGGACGTGGCATCTGCTGTAATACTTTTATTTTTAAAAATTGAACTCAAAAATTTCCTTCTCTCCATACAAAAACCTGCACATGGGTGTTTTTAGTGGTTTTATTTACAACAGCCAGAAACACTACAGAAGCAACCGGGATGTCCTTCAGTAGGTGGTGGATAAATAAACTGTGTTGCATCCAGACAGTAGAATATTATTCAGCACTAAAAATAGATGAGCCCTCAAGTCAGGAGAAGACATGGAGGAACCTTAAATGCATATGACTCAGTGAAAGAAGCCAAGACGAAAAGACTACATACTGTACGCCATCAACCGTATGACACTGCAGAAAAGGCAAAACTGTGGAGGCAGCACAAATATCAGTGGTTGCCAGGGGTTAAGAGGGAGGGAGGGGTGGACAGAGCGAACATAGGATTTTGAGGGCAGTAAAACCACTCTGTACATGGTTTTACTATATATGATACTGTAATGGTGGGTACGTGACATACGCATTGGATAAAGCCCATAGAATGTTCAACGCCAAGAGTGACCCCCAATGGACCTAAGTTAATAATAATGTATTAATATTGGTTCAGCAACTGTAACACATGTGCCACATCAATGCCAAGTGTTAATAATAGGGAACCCAAGTCCAGGGCAGGAGGGGATGTGTGGGAACTCTCTGCACTTCCTGCCCAATTTTCTGTAAACCTAAAACTGCTCCAAAAAAAGTGTATTAATTTAAGAAAATAATAAACTGCTAACAAAGAAACAAATTTCCCTTTCCTACCTCTTGAAGAAGTATTTTAGAAATTAATATTTCATCATTGAATGTTGTAAGGGATAAGTTGGGAGAGCTATGAAGTAAGTGGTTTAAAAGCACTTCTGTGAGAACAGAGAGAAGACAGGCTCAAAGTCGCAGAGCAAAGCCATGGAGTCAAGCCTAGCATGTAAAGTTCAGTTAGACGGCTTCCCTGGTGGTACAGTGGTTGGGAGTCTGCCCGCCGATGCAGGGGACGCGGGTTCGTGCCCCGGTCCGGAAGGATCCCGCGTACCGCGGAGCGGCTTGGCCCGTGAGCCATGGCCACTGAGCCTGCATGTCTGGAGCCTGTGCTCCGCAACGGGAGAGGCCACAACAATGAGAGGCCGGCGTACCGCAAAAAAAAGTTCAGTTAGAAAGTTTCAGTGAACGCCAAAATGGTAGCTCAGAAGCAACTTCAAAAAAATAGATTTTTCATTTTTCAGGTCTCTCTGTTTCGGTTCATAATTTCTCCTAATGCTGGATTTGAAATATAATATTGAGGCGGCCAGGAGAGAGGCTGCTCGGCTGTTTCAAAGTTAGGAGAGGTGTTGGGAAACACACAACTCTGGGTTAGGAATGTGCTGTGGCCACTTTTTGCTCTTATAAAAATAAGTGGCCAAGGAAACACACAGAAAAGTTTTCCTTAGCAAAGTGAGTGGAGCCGCGTTTTCGGGCCTCGTGGCCTTGGGGGACCCGGGCGAGATAGTTCAAGGCAGCCGCAGACCCAAGTCCACACCGGGCTGTCCTGCTGGGGTGGGGTTAGAGGGGTGTGGCTTCCTGCCGCTCCCAAAGCCCTTAGGCTTTTGGTGACTTTTCCGTATTTCTTTAAGATGACAGAATGAAAATCTAAGGCAAAAATGTCACAGGTTTTATTGTCATAATAATATTGAAGGACAAGCCCGATAGAGGTGGCAAGTTTCAGGGGAGGTGGGAAGTGTAGGTGAAACTGAGGAGCTGTATGATTTCCCAGTGTTTTCCCCACATACTATAAAACATAAGCAGTTCATGTCATACACTTATTACCATGATTCCAACATGGAATTCCGGCAAAATCTCATCATGATTGGGTGAACCCAGCTGCCCTAGATGCTGTGCTGTTGTGCTCATTGAGAGACACGGAATTTATTAAAGTTGGGGAGACAGGATATGCACAAGCGAAACACTAAAAATGGTGCCAGGCAGCCCATGGCAGGGGCAGTGATGGCCAAGTGGGGAGAGACCAAGCGGGATAGTGGCTGAGAGGGGGGTTCCGGAGCCGGAAAGCCAACTGTGAATCCCGGCTGGGAAAATCATTCAATTTCTCTGTGCCTCACTGCTTCGTCTAAGAAATGGAGGATACCAGTCCTCACTTCAGAAGGTTACTGGGAAAAGGAAATAATACACGTTGGGAAGTACTTGACACACTGCTGGGAGCAGTACATTGCTGATGAAGGTTAACTCTTTATTATAAATTATTAGAGCAAGTGTGTGATAAAATGCCAATTGAGGAGTTTTGACTCTCTGGCTAGAACAGTGCCTGGCACATTGTAGCTCTGCACTAAAAGTTTGTTGAATGAGTAAATGGATCAAGCATCCTTTATTAAAGGAAAGCAAGGTCCCCACTTGCATGGAGAAGGCAATGGCTTGATCTGGATCTGAAAGACTCAGAGTTGTGGAGAGTTGGAAATTAAACCAGAAGAAACAGCAGGTGGAGGACACTGCTGAAGGGGGTGATCAGACCTCTGTAAATGGAAGAAGTGGTGTTGGGAGGAGACCAAACCAAAAAGGAGGATCAGAGCCATTGAAGAGGACCTTGAACCTGAGGGTGAGGAGTTGGAATTTCACATCATGCACATGTGGGTGAGGTTCCAGGAAGAGTAATCTAGCATCGCTCATGGAACCAACTGGAAGGGCAGCCAACTGCTGGTGGGAACCAAGCAAGCAGAGGTACTTCAGCGGTGAGATACCGAAGATGTGAACCAGGGCGGCAGCCAATAGCTCAGAGAGTGTCCCGAGGAGGGGGTCTCAGTCTGGACAGGACCAAGTTTGATCTAGCTATTCATCCTAAATTGAAGTTCTGTGAAGCCTCAAAGGGAAAAAGAGTACAAAGGTAATACCCTACTAGAAGACATAAAATAAATTCAGAAACAGAGTCAGCATATTGACGTTTGTTCCGTTGCTTGTGATCTAATTTGTTACTTTACAGAGCTGGTGAGTCTAGTATGATTCTGTGTCAGTTCAGAAATGGTTTTTCAGACCCTTCGCCAGCTGATGGGACACCACGAAACAGTGAGTGTCGCTTATGTCGGTCTCGAGAAAGGCCTGTAGGGCTTTGGTCCATCCCCTAAACTGACCTTTAGAGCTTGAAGGCATATACAATGATGTGACATGTTCAAGCCAGAGATAACCCACATCTTACATCATTCGAACTTATATGAGCAAATAATGTACAAAGAAATCAGTAACTTTCCGAAAAGGACACAAATACTTTCTCAAATCTGGATAAGAGACCAGATCTCCCAACTTGTACTCCAGTTTTACATTATTTCATTGAATTTTTGCCATTGGTTTCGTTTACTGTGTGGTCTGCTTCACGTCTGAGGATTTAACTAGATCAGGCTGTGAATCACCCTTTAATACGGATTTCCCGTTTTGCAGTGCTTTGGACTTCCCAGGTTCAGCTGAAGCCTGGTACGGTTTAAATTTGTTCTCATGACCACTTCCAGGCTGGCTGCCGTCTTCCTGACTCAAAAGGCCCCTTTTTGCATTCCAGATGGATCTGCTCTTCCTAGGTATTGGGAGTCTTCATGAATGCCCACTTGCAGAAAGAGCTCTCTCTGCGTGCAAAAAAAGAAGGCGCTAAGCAGAAGGAACCACCCGTGGGAAGGCTTTGAAGAACCACAGCTTTTGCCAGGATGTCCTTTCTAGGGCAGTAACAAATGCAAAACAGGTAGGCGATGCTCCCACCTTAAGACAAAATTGCCAGAAAGCAAGCTCATTTCTCATCCTCTCGACAGAAAGCATAAGATAAAGGCTGCAGAAGCGCTCGGTGTGCAAACTGTAAATGGTAAAAAGACTATAAACCACGTGACTGTGAGTGAATCATGTTGGATTAAAAACTTAACATCAAACCACATAAGCCTGTTAAAACAGTTAGCGAAGATTGGATTTTTGTGTATGTAAGGATAACTGTTGAAGCATTCTCTGGGCTCTCCTACTCAGATCATAGAGCACATTTTAAATTCTGGAAATTGGCCATATTTTATAAGTCAGTCTAACTTCACTTTTTAGGGGAGATAATATAACAATAAGGAAGTCCAGCTTAACAGCGATAAAGGAAAAACAAGAGATTGGACTAGATTCGTGCAAAATAATATTTTTTAAAGAAATCTCTTACACCAACATTCTTATTCTTCCTCATATTTTAGCCCTTATTATTATTCTATGATTATATAATATTTTATATTTTTATTTTCCCATTTTTTTTCCCCTAAGTCATTTTTACTTCCTATCAACAACAAAAAAACAGCCAGAATGATGTTGGAACTCAACAGATAACTACAAAAAAGAGAAATTTTATAACATCCGACTTTCTCAGCATTCATATAGGGTTATTTTGGTAAAAATAGGTTTTTTAATCAATTTTCTTAAGGACTGGACTGTTCATCATACTTTGATATTCAAATCATGTTGTTTGAGGACCCTACCCCATCGTCATCCTTGTTGATTCTCTCTTCCCCCATCTGGTCTGACTGTCAGCTTCCACCCTGTCCATGGAGCGTATGGTTAGGGCACATCTCTCACATGACTCACAGGCTTCCTGAAATCTTCCAGCTCTTGAAAGAATTGCAGTTTCGTTTTGCAATCCATTGGCATTGAATTCTGTCTTAACGTATCCATTAGCAAAAGTAGCAAAGACTGACAAGCAAAGGTATTGATGAGATGGTCTGGGATACACGTTCCTGTGGAGTGGGGAAGGCTTGAGTGAGGACTCAATTCCTTAGGTATTCAATTCCTTCGGGAAAATGTGTTACAAGGACTTCTGCTTTCCTACCCAACCTTGTAACTAGGGGATCAGATACCAATTTATTTTCACAACAATACTTCAAGCAAGGTATTATTATCCCCACTCTACAGATGAAAAAACTTGAAGCTGGGAAAGTTCATTGATCTGCACGAGGTCCCGCAGCTCATAAGCTGGTGGCCTGTGGAGCGTGGATGTGGATCCAAACGGGGATGACTCCAAGGCCAGCTCGCCAAGGCCAGGGAGAAGGGGAGAAGCACTGCTCCCTATCCGGAAGCAGAGGAGTGCAGCCCAGTCTTCCCAGGCGGTGAATCCATCAGTGTAGACACCACAGATGGGGCTTCCACTGGGCCTTCCTCAATTCCTCTCACCCTGTCAGGGTAGAAGGAGGGCAGGGGTGGTGTGGCTCCCAGCTCCCGCAAAGGAGAGGCACGGGGGGGTCTGACCCTCAGACAGTGGTCCTCGAAGTCTGCCCCAGCAGCATCAGTGTCGCCTGGGAATGATAGAGATGTAAATTCTGAGTCCTACGCCCCAAACACACTCCCACTGGTGGGTTTCAGTTACCACTGTGACGTCACTAATGCAGAGTTGGGGAGAGATATACACACACAACCAGTTCTTCCAAGGGGAGTGGGCAGTTACTTCTGCTGTCACGTGATGTCTGCATTCCTCAGATTCAACCCACTGGCAAAATTGTGCATTAAAAACCACGGGACTTAGAGTAAAATGCAGTCAGGGCCACAACACTCAAGAATTTGTAGTGACACTTAATAGAAAGATAGTAACTCAATAAAAATGGCAGCACAGTTTGTCCATGGTAACTGGTTAAGAAATGTGTGGAGACTGTGATAGATGTGTCACTTCGGAAAGGTCACCTTGATAAAGTCTGAAGTTTGCTTGTAGAAGTGAGTGCTTACAGTGCTGGGGCCCCGCCATGCCCAGCACCCTGTCTGCAAGGGGAAGAGAATAAGAGAGGGGGAGAGAGAAAAACGATCCCAAGAGCAAAAGAACAGGAAACAGAGGGAAAAATACAAAATAGGGGAGAGTACAGGGGAAATTGAGAACAGGGAGACCGAGGGGGAAGGAGTGCAGCTGATGTCACACAGAAGTAACATCAGGAGGGTCTTCTGAAACCAGACAGGAAGGGTCCCACCAGCTGCGGTGGGGGTGGCTCGTCGTCCTGGTGACCCGAGCGCGTGTGCCATTTGTGTGCTCCTGCTTCTGTCACCTGGGTTCTCAGGGATGAAACACACGTGAGCAAACTGAAATTCACGTTTTGCTCAAGTTGTTTCCTAATGTATCCATCATGCTGGGACAAATCCTCAAGCGTCAGAGCAAGCACCCCGAGCAGAACTGGCTGCATTTACACCCTGGAAATGGGCAAATCCTTCAAGTCAGGGCTGCCCCCCGCCCCCGCCCCGCCCCATGCACCTGTTAAATCCTTACCAGCACACTGCTGGTTGTAAAACACTGAATGGAGTAGTTGGTATGTACTAAGTGCCTAATAAGTGCCTAAGAATTAATGTACTTTTCCCCAGGCGGAAGGCAAGTGGGATTCACGAAACAAACTGAAACTAGAAAGTAGACCAGGCAAAGCAGGTGCCCCAGAACTGGAGCAGAGTAGCCAGCACAGATGTGTGGGGTCCCGCTGCAGACAGAGAGGGAAATAGTAACTTCCAGAACACATCTACTCTACCATCCCCTGCAGATGCAAAGAGACACTAAAGAAAATGTGTCACAAATTTTTAGCATCTTTTGTAATTATTTTCAAGGTGGAAACAAAACAGGGAATGATAATAAGCTCCAGTGAGACTTTAATTATTTTGTGAAGATTTTTTTTTTATCATAAATTGGCATTTCAAACTCTCCTGCCAACTCCCAGTGCATACATGGTTTACTACGCTTGCTTGTTGGCAAGCCCAAATGGGATATTTAATAAATGACTCAGCAGCATACATTTATCGAACAAGATTTTATGAGGAAAAACAAAATGTACGTGTTTTTAGGGTGCTTGCCATCAAACATGAGCAGTAACATCTAACTCATAAATCATCGTGCAAACAGCATGGCAAGATGAATGCTACATGGATGCAGAAGAGAACAAAGACCACGTGAGTTGGAAGAGAATCCCTCTGCCTGGCGTCTCCCAGAAGTCATCACATATGGTGCGGTATTTGAGTCTGGCCTCGAGAAGAGGGGAAATTGCAGGTGGAAGACAGACTCTGTGTGGAAGGGCAGCAAAGCCTGGAGCGTTTTCAAAGGACTGGAATAAGTTTGGTTTGGGTAGACAGTTTATGAAGGGGTATCTCTGTACCTCTTGCAAGACAGTACCTTCATGGCTGTAGAAATGGAGAGACTTCTGTTGGTTTCAGGCAGACTTGTCACACTTTCCTTATTACAGGTTTACTGTTAATGAATTATTAATAGCTCTCATTTACCGATCATCATTCTGAGTGATCATTTTCTCACTCAATCTTTACAACAACCCTATGAAGTCGGTAATATTACTATCCCTCTTTTAGATGAGGACACTGAGGCAGGAAGAGTTTAAGTAACTTGCCAGAAATCACACAGCTACTGAGTTTCAGATTTGGGGGCAAATCCCAGTCGGGGCTCCTAACCGTCCCACTCTACTGCCTGCAGGCAGTTCTCAGGTTGATGTTGGATGATGTTTCTTGAAAAGACACTATGAAGATGAAGCAATTTAAGTTCTGTGCTTTTCATAGAACACGTTTTCATAGAAAAAAATGAGCTATTATTGCATCAAAATCTGGAGAAAATGAGCTTTATTCCTTTATTTCATCAGTGACAAAGGTTATGGAATTGTGCACATCATTAGCTCATTCCCAGTAACTAATCACGTTTCACTTCGTTCAAGACCTTTTAAAAAATGGAAGCTATGGGCTGAGGGTGGAATGGCTCAGAGCTCTAGGGAGAACCTGCAGGGAGGCACAGGCCAGAGAAGGGTCCTCAAGAAAGAGGATCAGAGCCTGGAAAGGATTGCTCTGTGGGCCATGTCTGCAGAAAGTGACGAAGTGAATCCTGGAACCATACACCCAAATGTATCAGTGCTGTAAGTGAGAGTGGGACCACCAGTCCTGCAGATTCATCACGATGGAAAACTGCACCAGAGCCTCACATGAACTTTCCAAGAGCAAATGTATAAGAGGCAGGGCTGCTCTTTCCAGTTGGTTCCACCTTCCAATAGGAAATGGATTTGGTCACTTTTCCCTGATTATGCTTTCTCCTTGGCCTGGTTGTAGGCAAGCAGCTGCCAGTACGTCTGTGTGCTCCCTGGATTAGCTTCCACTGCATGTGTTTTAATAGTCTTCCTTTTTCCACATTGATTCAGGCCAACCCTGTCTGCAAAGACTCAGTCTAATAAAAGCTTGAGTCTGGGTGCTACAGAGTGGAAATGTGCTAAAGATGCCATAATATATGGCTGAAAGAGCCTTTATTCTGAATGCGAAGGAGACACCTGGTAAATCCTCTTGAATAAAAAAACAGCTGGCGCCCATGTGCTCAGCTTCAGGTGTCTCCAGCTTAAAGGTGGGTTGTCATCGCTGTGAGGTTTACCAGTTGCCTCCACTGTGCAGATGTGGGATTGTTGAGAGCTGAGGATCCTATGACCTCCTCACTCCCAGGGCCTCAGTCCCAGGGCCCAAGAACCGGAGGTGGTTTGTACTTGGAGTAATCAACATATTCAGTGGCAAAGGATGCTTCCATTGTTGGAGCTGATTCTGTCTGATTCTCCATGGAGGTCTTATGGCTCCTGTGAGGAGTAAAGAGGGTTTTGGAGCTAGGCAGACTTGGGCTACCATCCGGTCCTGAGTTATGTGAGCTTAAGCAAGTGACTTAACTTCAAGGAGGACCATTTTTCTCACCTAGTCTCCCTCTGAAGATTATTATGAAGACAAGATAATACGTGTAATATTTCAAACATTATCTATACAAAGTATAGATAGAATTTATTTTACAGGAATGAAAATACCAGAAGAAAACAAATGATAAAATGTAAACAATTCATCTGTTTCATTTCTTCTTTTTAAAAATTGAATATAGAAATTTATTATATGTGTTTACACAGATATTTTTATACATGCAAAAATATGGGATCTTGGGCTTCCCTGGTGGCTCAGTGATTCAGAGTCTGCCTGCCGATGCAGGGGAAACGGGTTCGTGCCCCGGTCCAGGGAGATCCCACATGCTTGGGTACCGCAAAAAAAAAAAAAAAAAAAAAAAAGGGGATCTCATAATGCTGTTTGTTGATTTATAGATGTAAATATATACACATATACATGTACAGGTATCCTTCACTATATGAAATCTCATTATCTGAACTTGTTATCTGAACTCAAGAAGAGGATTTGGAAAGAAAGGGATATTCGTATATAGTACACACAGCTTTTAGGTTATACATGTTTTGTATGCCTTGGCTCAAGTGACAGTACTTCCTAGAAATATCACTAAGTAAACTGATATACTCTAATTAATTCTTCATACTGGCTGCATAATATTCTGTAGTTGTACTACATTCTATTCATTTTCCTATCAATGGTCATTTACTTTGCTTCCAGTTATCTGAGGCTGTATACAATGCTGCAATTAATATTCTTGTATATACATCCAATGTGCTGAAGATTTTACTTCTCCAAATAAAATTTCATTTCCAATCTCTAAACAGAATTTTCTCTCCCATTTTATCCAGTGTGCCCTTCCACACACATGCAGATCAGTTAACCTGTTATTGTTATACCCTGATTACTTCCAGACTTTATTTCCTGAGTACATGCTTTCAAGGGATTCAGAGACAAGTGTTTTGGAAAACATCAGGGCTCCCCACCCTGAAGAAAGCCCTGGGCAGGTTCCCTGAACTGAAATAGTAGCCCAGGGAGGAGGGCTCCATCATCCAATGAGCACTAGGGCCCAGGGTGTCCTCACCTCAAACTCTTCCAAGCTTAGTAACATTTTAGCCTAAAGTCATCTTTCTGGCATGGTTTCATTCAAAAATATATAGCATTTCAATAAAATAGGTAAATTATATACAGAATAGCTATTTTAATGAAAACAGCAAGAGATATGAGTTGATGTCCTCTCTATTGGAGTTGAAGACTTAACCATATTTCTGCAATTTATTCAGGGGTGCCCATAACTGCTAATAAATTCTATACTATAGTTTTATGAAACCGTGTTAGCTTTTGATGACCAGCTGTTCTGGTTATGTCATCGGGTTGTTCTGATTCTGAGCTGGTTTCATCTGGGTGTTTTACCTCGAGTTACCGACGTGTTCATGGTTGTGCTTCAAGGGTGCCAAAGCTCTTGACTCAGTTTGCAAATCTTCTTGACTTACTGGGGAGGTGAGAATGCAGTATATTTAGACTTTTGATATTTATAGACCAGTGTTTGACTTCTAAAGTCTTTATGGAGAGAGATTAAGAGGGAAAGAATGACTTATGATCCATCTATGGCATAGGATCTGTGCATATGTCTGGATTTTTAAACATTTATTATCTGACGTCATACAGCAGAAGCTGGTTTACAGGGTCCTGAATTTAAGACTTGAGAGGTAAGAATCTCTGAAATTGTCAAGACTATTGTTATTAGCACTTATGAAAAGGCCAGTTTGGCTTAGTGCAAGTAAATTATTAGTTATATCCTGTTTAGACAACTTGGGTAATTTTATGTTTAAATTGTGAATTGCTGCTCTTGACGACAAGCTTTGTATAACTGACAGCAGCTTATTCTCAGCTGGTTTTCACCTGTTTGTCAAAATGACTATTCACTATTCTTTCACTGAATAATTACTGTTGACTCTCCGTTCATTCAACAAATATTTATTGAATCCTACTATGTGCCAAGCACTGTAGAACCTGTAACAACGTCTTAACATATACTCTTCCAATAAATAAACTCTTCCAATAGATAAATAAATAAATTCCAATAGATATTTCTTTCATAAGTTGTAAAGAATTGCTCAAAACTAAATGTATTACCTTCTCTTCCCAATTCCTCCTCTTCACTCCCTGCCCCATCTGCTTTTTTTTCTTCTTAAAATTATTACCATCCTCCAAAATTTATGAGCTGAAAACCTCAAATCTTTCCTGATTTCTTTCTCTCACTACCTATATCCAAATAATTACCAGACCCTCTATTTTTCCGCCCTAGAAAGA